AAAAAACTCTCAAGTCCGTTTTCTAAGTTTATTTTCTAAGTTAGTTGKTTTTTCTTTTTCACTTATTTATATTTTGTTAGATTGTTTCAGGACAACAACAAACAAAACGCTACAAACGGAAACCCAATTTCAAACAATTATTGRCAGATTYTCCTTAGCTACAATACGTCACGTGCACGGCAAAGAATTCCCAGTCCTTCTCGCTTGACCAACATCTCATCGTCAGCCTCTCACGACCGGCCGATACGACTAAATCGGTTTAACTAGGACCGTAAAAYCTATATATGTATCATTTGACCGTATTTTTGAGGTTATTTTGACGTCATTCTTGTTTATTTGTTAGCAGTATATGTTGTATGTCATCCTACGGGGAAGCATCCTCGGGAACCCAGGGCTTTTGAGTGAGGGGTCGGGACTTCGAAAGTTGGCGGTTGAAAGTACAGCCTTTTGCAAAAATTATGAGAATTGTCGAAATATCTAAATATCATAATATCGAGTGCATGATGGGTAATCCCGGGCGATGCCCTTAGTCCCTTGTCTTTGTAGTTTAGTTTTTTTTTTTGGCGACTGACATATCTGTAGTTCTGAACATTTTCTTGATGTCAACAATGAATTATTCTAGCAAACCCGAGTGTTCCGGACAATATATGGATATGGATATTATGATATTTAGATATTTAGACAATTCTCATAATTTTTGCAAAAGGCTGTATTTCAGTCAATAACGTAATATGGGATTGTGCTAAGGCGACATCAGTGACACGAATATGACGTCAAAAATAAGGTTACTGTAATGTTAGAAAGGTTTCTTTTTTCAGTTAATGGCTTCTTACTATGGGGTAGTGATGAGCGAGAGGACGCGAACTGTAGGACAAGATGGCGACTGTATTGGTTAAAGGACCTATTTCAGATGTACTATTAGGGAAGATTAGGGAAGATTAAAAGAAAAAAGAGTCAAATGTATTGGTAATGGGTTCTATGTCAGTCAATGTCTTAAATGTACTGCAATGACTGCAAAACAATTCAATATGTCGACTGTATTGGTAACAG